CAATTTTAAACTTTTTTTTAAAGCTTTGAAACGTTTTTAAAAAATTAGGTTTCAATTGCAATGATTTCTAAAGTGAAAGAACCAAACGCTTGATTAAAATACAGACCTACCCTGAAATTCTTCTAAATTCAGTTTAGCAAAAGGAACGCACAACTAAATTCTTACATACTTGCTGACAAAAGTTCAAAGTTGCGGTGGGTGTGTTAGACCAGAATGTGTTTAACGACTGAAACCATACGTGAACAAGATACAGCTGCAGCGCAGCCACAGAGCGTTCGAGGTTTAATTCTGGTGAGCTGGTGCTGCCAAGATAACCAAGAAGACAAAGACACACCAGCACAAAGAAACCGCCAGCATCCTGATGTACGCATTTCAACTTCTCCACCCTCTCCCAGGGCAGCGCCTTTCCGTAAGAGGTTCGAGCAGAAGAAGGACTTTTGCAGCCCAGGCACTCAGTGCTACCGAGGATAAGCAGGAACGCCTGCGACCAAGGCTGCAGACAAGAGGTGATCATCTGCTAGCGGCGGTAACAACAACTTTCCATTCGAAAACAAAAGCCACGAGCTCAGCTTTGCACTCCGAACACCCTATGTCCCGCTCCTATGCCAGCGGCTGCGCAGGATATCCATCACCCGAATGGGGCTCCTGCTGATACAGGCTGCCCACGCTCGCACCAACGGGATTCGGTTCAATACCCAGCAACCGCCTGACGAGAGCCTCACGGGTCACCAAAACGAAAAGCCCAACAGCCCCCGAAACAAATTTGCTATGGCTACGGGCTCGGGGGAGGGGGGGAGGCCAAAACCAATCAGGCTATGAGAGCAAAACGGCTGCACTTTTTGAACGTTTCCTACCACATACAAGAACAAATGCCGGATGTGATGTTTGCTTAGTTTTATTAATTTATTTTTGCAGGAATCTGCAACTCGGAGTATGCACTTTCTGGAGGTACCATGCATGCATAGCCTCTGAATGCTTTTATACAATTTCACCTCTTAGTATTGAGTTCATTCACAGCATACACAAATCTAGAATGTAGACACCATATATACAGGATTAAACAAGATCGTGTCTTCTTTTTTTAATGAAAAAATTTAACAGGGTTTCACACAGCAGGAAATATGGATTAGATACACTGGTGCCACCATAAATAAATAAAGTTTCAAGAACACAGATTTTTTAAAATCGGTTTCAAAGGTACTGAAAATCCAGGATTATAATATTGCATTAATTCCATTGATTTCTGATTATTCAAAACCAAGAAAAATATTTGCATTAATATTTATGGACATAAACAGCAACGAAAGCCCCAAACTGAAGAAATCTGGCAAAATTCAGTCATGGCTAGCTTCAGAGAATATTGACATGTTGAAACGAAACAAATGCAGCAGCACACAGAGACAGTACTGACTACAAGATGCGATATCTGCGCACGTCGTCTTTCTTTACGGGGTTTAGAGTCACTGTAGTACAGAGCTCGTAAATTCTGTGGTACCAAACAAGCTGATGAACTGTTTATGTCCAGCTGTCCGCTTCTCGTCAGGATAGTCATTTTCACATTCTAGGGTAAACCACTGAATTTTAAAACAAAAACTATCATCCTGATGACAAGCTTGTTTTTAACATATTTAATATTCTCACATTCTTTTTTTAAAACATTCTTTATTGTTTTTTTCTTTTGTCCCCATTTCAACTCAAGTATTCTTATTTCAGTTTCAAAGGGTTTTACAATCAATATTAAATGTAAAAGTGTTTAGAAATTGAAATGAGACATGTATAGCTGGGACAGATAAAGTAACTGAAAGAAAAGGGTTGTTTTTTCTTTTTTAAAAAAAGTGATTTAGTAGCATATCATAATCAGAAAGTACTGAGACCAGCTCTTTTAAGAATTATTACACCTTTTCACCACACCTCCCATTTTTCAAGGGGAACACACACATACCACAGACACACAGATACACAAGTCAATCTAAGACTACATTTTACAAAGTACTTCCTTTTGCTTGACTTCCCATCCCTTTCCTCTTCACCCAAACAAGACTAATATATCAAATTAAAAGTAGATCCAAAGTTCAGGATTTCTTTTGGTTTACTATGTTCTGAATCGTCTTCCACAAGCCCCACTCTAAACAGACTTTTAAAGAACTACAGCAGTATTCTATAATTAAAGGGAATTCATCTTAATAGCACAGCAAATATAAAATAAGCTTTATAAAATGTCGATGAACAGCGAAATCATTTCGAATATCTGAATGTCCCAAGTCAGTTACAAACTCTACCACTCTAGTAGCACGGTTGAGGGAAAGCTCAGTCATTAAGGAAAAAAAGAAAACACAAGTAGTGCATTAACTCAGCACACTGGCATCAGCATCCCACCACTCACACGCGCACACACGCGTTTTATACAATACAGTGCATTTTGTACGCCAGCTGACATTAGGGTTTCATGTGCATTCAATAAATATTACATAAACCAATCTTTTTGGCATAATCTACAATTCAGTTGGGGTGTGAACAGCGTCATCTGCTTTCAGAAGGAAAATGGATTTTCCAATATTCAAAATACAATTTACATTCTAACAAACTAGAAATATTCAAGCACCATGTAAAGTCTTGACTATGAATGGCTGAGTACGGACGGGCATTTACAGGTAAAAGAATACAACAGAAGGGGGTTTTGCACAAGCAACAAACGAGAGTAAATGAAAAACTGAAGTAAAATTATTGGTACGAAGGAATTCATTTGCAATTTGATGGCACTCACTCTGTCTTCCAAGAAGCATCTTGCTGTCATGGCAGCCTTCCTTCTCGTCCTCTGTTGAAGCTACGGCTAAGGTCAGCAAATCTCCATTTACGGTTATTACAGCTCAGGGAGTTACTGGATTGCATCCCCCTCCCCCTTCAAAAGTAGCATCTATTCTGACTGAAAATGGCACAACTGTATCGATGCACCTACTCTCATTTGCTGACTATCATTTCAGTTGCTATCATTTTGCAATTCCAGCAAAAATAAATGCTTCTAGAACTTCCACAGAAGAACAAATGAACAGAAAATTGAAATAATACAAAGGCAAAGGCATCACAATAGAAAAGTCATGAAGTTACTGGTATTGTTTTGAGTAATTCATTATACAGCTGATAATAGCAATGGCACTGCTTATCCTGGGTTATAATGCTTCTGTTCATCTGTTTTCTAGTTATCTCGGTTTTGTCAGACCATCCACTTCCATGAACAAAATTAATATCTGCCTCCTAACTTCATTTGACAGAAATTTTTTACACCTTTCCACATGTGACGAACTCCCCACATAGTAATATAAATCATGGGGAAGGGGAACTAGCTCCGATGCCTTTGACTTTGTTCTGCTCATCAGCGGTGCACACTGATTACTGGAGATCTCTTAGCTTATTTAAAATTATGCTGAAGATTTATTTAGTGCAAGAACATATTGAAAAATGCCAGATAAAATATCGGTTCCTCATCTAAGATCACAGCTTGGTTTTTACCATTCTCTTTATAAACTGCTGGGAGAGAAGACACCAGATTGAGTAATGCAGTCAAGATGAGTTTTCCTCCACCCACCCCTTACAAATGCTGTTTGATTTTAAATAAGGATTCAGACACATGATTGTTCTACCACAGCTTAACACATTATCACACATCAAGTGAATCGCGGTAATTGACCATATGGACGCGGCTGCCATGAGCTAAGAACAACCTAAAACGAAGTAGTTTAACTCTCCTCTGGTAAGGCTTAGCTGGCACATTTTGCCTCACAGTTGCAAAGCAAATTACCAGAACTCAGCTGACGTGCTCGGTTGCGTCTCTGAATCTTGACAAAAGTATACCGTGAAATCTCAAATGCACTGTACCAGCTTCTGACCAGTACACAGGAACATCCTACCCAGTCGCACAGTTGCGTTAACATAATCATTCAGCTGCCCAAATCCAGGTTCAATTTCACAAGTATTGAGTGCTTTATTACAGCCACCTGAAGCATTCAAATTGAACATCACCTTTATAATACAGTATATCATATGCATGAAAGTACCAGTATGATTTGCAGTTGCAAGTCTTGTGTTCTTCAACCTACCAAAAGTATTTCCTGACCAAAACAAAAAGAATGCAGTGTGTAATTCTTCAGGATCTGGCATCTGCTATTTTACACAGGCTGGTTTATTAACAATGTGCAAATAAACCTTTACTGAAGAGCTAATTGATTAATTACTTTTCAGCTAACTTTGAACTGGGGCACAAAGTACCTTCTGTGCTGTAAACATCATGAATTCTTCACAAATTGGAAGCTGAAAAGGCCTAAGGAACTGGGTACAAACTCCTCTCATACACAATCATGGCTGAGCTTGAATCTTCCAAACTGAATTTGGAGTGGTCTGTGTTTGGCATATGTCACTGTGCTGCTACAGAGCACAGGCTTAGAAGATTGTTGTATATAAAAGCATACTTTTAGCTTTGAAACACGACGGCCTAATGAAAGCATGCAGTAGTATTTTCATCCGTAATACGGCAGAATTCATTCTTAGTTTATTACCAGTGTTGACACAGCCAGGTGAGCACTGTACAAGCGAAAGGGATTGTAAAAAATTACCTCCGATTAAACTCTCTGTAACACTCATACAGCATCTCATTTAGTCACCTTAGGTTACTATTTCAAACAGCAATTTTTTGTAGACATAAGTTACCCTGAAAAAAAGCAGCAATTACAAATACCCTTCTCCTTGTTTTTTATACATTGCAAAATTTACTGTTGCATTTACCTGCCTTCTTTTTCAGTAGCTTACAATCTAGAAGCACAGGGAGCCTTTGTTTTCCAGCTAGCTGTGGCCAGGTTAAGTCAGCTCTGGCTCTTCAGTTTGTCTGGTTAAGTGTAACATTTCACACCATTACTAAGTGTCCTATGATATTTTTTTTTTTTTAAAAAAAAAAAAAAAAATTTTTTTTGTTTTTTTTTTCCTTTTTTTTTTTTTTTTTTTTTTTTTTTTTTTACAGCTACTAAGCAGTAACTATAACCACAGGACTAAACACCAGTAGTTATTTGCTTTCCTGTATACATTCTTCGCAAAATTAATCCTTTTACATTTTCAGGTTTCATTTACTGCTTTGCTCACTGCAATGGGATAAGGAAGAATTTCACCCTTAATTTATTTCTTTTTAGTGTAGCACAAGCAGAAACATCTTAACGCATTACTCCCATAAGCAGTAACTATAACCACAGGACTAAACACCAGTAGTTATTTGCTTTCCTGTATACATTCTTCGCAAAATTAATCCTTTTACATTTTCAGGTTTCATTTACTGCTTTGCTCACTGCAATGGGATAAGGAAGAATTTCACCCTTAATTTATTTCTTTTTAGTGTAGCACAAGCAGAAACATCTTAACGCATTACTCCCACCCCTTGCAATATGAAGATTGTTGACTAGCAAAGGCCGGGCAGATGGACTGAAAGGTTCCCCATGTTTCCTTCTCCTACAGCTGTCGGCTCGAGATCCTGTTTTCAACCCAATTGCAGCCCCTTTCTGATTTTCAGGTGTATCGTGGCATTTCACACTGCTCACAGCGATTTAGTGCTGGGTGATTTAGAAAGGTGCAGCTATCACAATTCCATGGAGCCCCTTCAAAGTCTTCATCTCTTGGCTGAGTCCGTGGAGTCTGTTTGGAGCTGGTTTGATGCTCTAAAAAAAGCCAAAGGAAAACATTTTTTTCTAAATTTGGAAAAGAAGGATGACAGGCAAGATCATACTACTCGTTTATCACCTCATTAAACACTATCTTAAAATGAACACCGAAACCTTTCCACTTAGATAACATTAGATGTCTTTTGCTAAAGCACTTCTAATTCAGTTTGTGAAATCTGAATATTTAAGTATTTAACTTCTGTAGAGCATCATTTAACCATACCACATTAAAAATACACTGTTAGGTCACTGCCAGTACTAAAGGTTTATTAGCTTAAAACATACTGAACAGTTTGTTACTGGCACTGCAACCCAATCCTGTTAAGGAACGACTTCACAGGTTTATGTACAGCACCTATTACCAAATTCTAAATTCCAACGACCCTACTTTACCTGAAGCGAAAGACTACTTCTAACTTAGTTCCTTCAAACAGTCTGACAGATGATATATCTTCTACATTTTTTTCTAGCATTTATCGAGGCTGAAGAAAATACAATCTACAAATAAAATGGTAGGCCTGCTTCAAAAGATGATGATTGTTTTTCTTCCTCATGGCGTTGCAGCAGGTATGTGTGTATGTGAAGCAGCACTTAAAAGTCTATTTTCGTTCATAAAATCAGTATGAATGCAAATCACGCATTAGGTATTAACCCACGGAAAGACTCAGTTTTCCGAAGTCTCCTACCACCACATGAAGACTCAGGTTATCTACTAAAAGCGAGAAATACTTCCAGGATGTGGAAACACAACATTTTACAAAATGTTAACATTCGAAACAACATTAGCACACATACCTAGAAGGTAAGGCTAAGATACTCCCCTGCTAAACAAGATTAAAAGAGAACTTATGTTCTAAAAATGGACTGCAATTTGTAATTCAAATTGTACACACTGCTATCATCTGCTAATAAATGTGCCAGGTGGTTTGTCTTCAGAGACATACTTAAAGAAAATAAAAGCAACCTCCTTGCTTAGATGTAAACCCTCTCCAGTTCAGAAGTTGCATAGTCACGTGAACAGCGCTTGGCCTCAACAAATTCCTCCTAAGCAGGCAAGCAGTGTGGGCACTCGACTACATGCATGTTGACTAGCCAGACGGCAGCACAGAGCAGACCCTTGTCTGCCCACGCCTTCAGCAGCTGAATATTAAGGAAATGGAATTTTTTTTGTAAGGAAAAAAAAAATATTTTGATGACTCCATGTTAAAAGCCAAGCTCAGAATACTGTACACCAGCCCTACAACTGACCTCTCATAAGCTGACAGGCAAAACCGGGAAGCTGGTTGTAAATTGTACAAATCCTTACAAGACGCTATCTTTCCACTTGCCGAATAAAATAACTTATTTCATGCAAGTTTTGCATGCTATTTTGCTTTGAAATAATAAATTGAATAGGCTAATGTAATTGAGAGAATCTCTTCAAGCACCACAAAGTAGCAGTGCCTTAAATCAACCACATGATCACTCCAATTTAACATGAAATTAGGCAGCTGCCTTCATGCCACTGCTCACCTGCTGCTGCTGTCTCTCCTGGACACTACCACCTATGCAGGGAACTCAGCCCCAGTACTGGGGTTTTTTTGAACTATGAGCAGTAGTTCTGCGCCTTCTGTCCCTTTCAAATTTCCACATACTAAACATTTTATTATATTGAAGGGTAAAATACTTGCTCCAAAAGAGAGGGGAAAATTTCTTTATAGGAACTCAAAATTCAACTGCAAAAACCTTTGTGAAGTGCTTATCAGCAACTAGAACTTACAACATTTGGATTTTCAAGCAGAGTATATAATTACTGATTCAGAACAGTGACTTATTTTCCACTAACAATTTTAGCACGTGCTAGTTACAGTAAGAAGAGACACAATATTATAAATCCCATCACACCCAACACTTCCAGAGAAAAGCCCACTGTTGTCTCAGTAGCAGATCGCAGGATCCCAGACTGGCTATTTCAGCAGAAAGATACCAAGTGTTTAAAAATTTCCACTAACATTTGAAGCAACTCTTTTAAAGTATTTCAGGAAGAAAAAAAAAAAAACGTCCAAAAATACCTGAGACAAAAGCTAGGATCCTGCTCCAAACCCACCACTGAACGTAGTGGAGTTCAGCGAGGCACTGAGCTACACGGCCACTAGGTGTCTGCTGCTCGGGATGAGCTGATCGCTCTGGGATGTACTGACTGATCTCCCCTGGAGAAGGAGTGAGACTGAACACGTAGCTCCTGCGCTCACAGAAAACTTAGTTGTCCTAAGCTGGATATAAATCCTAGTTACCATACAATTAGCACAGAAAATTTTAGAAACCAGTAATGAACTTGTACGAGTGGGACACTGTTAACTCTTTAGACCAATGAGAGGAAATGTGTTCTGTTTTGGTCCTCAAAATGCCTGAAGCTCTTACTGTGCTAAAACTTCAGAGCTACTGTGAAATACATACTCTGCACTAAAGTAGGTAAAGTGTGATCAGTCAAGTTAAAATATAATTAAAAATATAAATGCAAATTTTAAAAAGCTGGTGTGACCAATTAAATTTGCATAAACGGTCCAACTAAACTACAAAATCCTAACAGCACCTATCAGAAGACTGCTAAACAAACCTGACGTACACCTTTTAACATAGAAGTGTTTTAAAAAACAATAATTAGGAAGCTCAAGTTAACACGCAAAAGTCTGTACACTTTCAATTCTTTTTCTAATAGTGAATAACAGTATTTACAAACAAGATATTAACAGAACATTAATTTGCAACAACCTGACTGAGGAAAACAAGTTGTAGCCAGGATTACTGCATTTACATAAACATGTTCTGGTTTGGTTTATATAGAGAAAAGTTATAATAATTAGAATTGCTTCCTGTCATCACAAGGGTTGGGTTTTTTTTTAAAAAGGAGGAAAAAAAAAAAAAAAAAAGAAGCTTTCTCAATGCATATTAGGTAACTTGATGCTTGTTTGTTGACCTACCCTTTTTATATGGCTTTGGTGGCACAACAGGACCAGGCTCTATGTTATCATAGAAGTTACATGTGGCTTTTGGATCAAAGTTCCCTGTTAAAAAAGAAAAGCAAGAAAGCGTAACTCAAAGGTTATTTACATGCCTATGCCAGCGATATGAACATTTAGAGGCTTCAGCCTCCTCTTCTCCAGGCTAAACAGCCCCAGCTCCCTCAGCCACTCCTCATAAGACCTGTTCTCCAGACCCCCCACCAGCTTCACTGCTCTCCTTCGGCCACGCTCCAGCACCTCGGTGTCTGTCTTGTAGTGAGGGGCCCAAAACCGCACACAGTATTCGAGGTGCGGCCTCACCAGTGCCGAGTACAGGGGGACGATCACTTCCCTGCTCCTGCTGGCCACACTACCAGCTCATGTTCAGCCGGCTGTTGACCACGACCCCCAGGTCCTTTTCCACTGGGCAGCTTTCCAGCCACTCCTCCCCAAGCCTGTAGCACTGCATGGGGTTGACCCAAGGGCAGGACCCAGCACTTCGCCCTGTTCAACTTCATTCAATTGGCCTCAGCCCATTGATCAGCCTGTCCAGATCCCCCTGCAGAGCCTTCCTGCCCTCAAAGCAGATCAACACTCCCACTCATATCTAAATTCTATTTTTAAAAAACTATGAATTTCATACCTCTAGATTGAAGGAGATCAACTTCTTTCAGCGTACAGTCAACATTTATCTGGAGCTGTCTGTTGAGGCTTCTCAATCTGGTCATTTCCTCAGGCTAGAAACAAACAACCCAAAACAGTAATTGTGGGAAAGTCAGCATCTTATCTGACATAGAAATAACATTGCTTTGTCTTTGTTAACAGCTTTATTAGAAACTGAGTATAGAGAAAGCACTGAAAAAATAGCCAAGATTCCACTGTCTGTCCCTTCCCCCACCCAATTTATTCCCTCAAAAAACATTCTTCTATCGGCATTTGAGGAGGAAAACGAACAAAACCAACAAAAATGAACAAGTTACTTAATATTAAAATTCATTAGTAAGAAGACATAGCTAAGCTCAAGTTTATAAAACCATACACCTTATAAAATTCTGTATAAATTGGTAACTTGCTACATGACTTTGCACCAAGATGATCAGGAAACAGAACACGAGCTGCAGCTCACATTAGTCATTACGTGATTATAACTGAATAAGGTCAGAAGTTTATTTATTTGCATCACCCCAAGGAGCTCCAATATGCCAAACCTTCTAGCCCAGTATGTTTAAATTGTTCAATGCTGCAAGACAGTAATTATTCTTAACAGAATAATTAGTTAAGTCCATATATTTGCATATCATTAAGAAACCCCAAGTTACTGGAATACAAAGCGTTCTTAATGCTAGCAGCACTGATTATTAACACATACATAGGAATAACTAGCTTATCCTAGGATGCATTCCAGCACTGCAGAGTCACAAAATAACAGAAAGTTTGAGGTTGGAAGGGACCTGGAGGTCATCTGGTCCAAGCCCTTGGCCCAAATGGCAGATGGCTTTTTAGTATCTCCAAAGACAGACATTCCACAACCTCCTTGGGCAACCTGTTACAGGGCTCAGTCAAGCACACAGTAAAAAAGTGTTTCCTGATGTTCAGAGGGACCCTCCTGTGTTTCAGTTTGTGCCCATTGCCCCTTGTCTTGTCACTGGTCCCCAGTGGAAAGAGCCTGGCTCCATCCTCTTTGCACCCTCCTTTCAGGTCTTTATATACATCGGTAAGATTCCCTCGAGCCTTCTCTTCTCCAGGCTGAATAGTCCCAGATCTCTCTGCCTGTCCTCACTAGAGAGATGCTTAATCATCTTTGTGGCCCTTCACTGGACTCTCCAGTATGACCACATCTCTCTGACATACTGGGGAGCCCACTCCCGGACACCATACTCCAAAAATGTGGCTTCACCAGTGATGAATAAAGGGGAAGGGTAACCTCTTTCCCCTTGCTGGCAACACTCCTAATGCAGCCCAGGATATCATTAGCCACCTTTGCCACATTGCTGGCCCATTTTCAGCTTGGTTTCCACCAAGACCTTCTCTACAAAATTGCCTTCCAGCTGGTCAGCACCCAGCCTATACTGGTGCATGGGATTGCTCCTCCCCAAGGGCAGGACTTCGTACTTCTCCTTGCTGAAAGGCATGAGGTTGCTGCCAGCTCATTTCTCCAGCTTGTTGAGGTCCCTCTGAATGGCAGCATGACTCTCCCAGTTTTGTGTCATCAGCAAACTTGCTGAGGGTACGCTCTGCTCCATTATCCAGATCATTAAGGAAAATTTTAAACAGGATCAGACCCAGTATTGACCCATGAAGTACACTGCTAGTTACTGGCCTCCAACCAGACTTTGTGCCACTGATTACCACACCCTTGGCCTGGCTGTTCAGCCAGTTTTCAGCCCACCTCACTGTCTGCTCATCCAGCCCATACTTCATCAGCTTCTCTACGAAGACCTTACAGGAGACAATGTTGAAAGCCCTACTGAAGTCTAGACAGACAATAACCACTGCTCTCCTCTCGTCTACCAGGACTGTCTTTTTATCCTAGAAGTTTATCAAATTGGTCGAGCTTGAGTTCCCCCTACCGAATCCATGCTGACTACTGCTGATCACTTTCTTGTCCTTCATGTGCCTGGAAGTGGTCTCCAAGATTAGCTGCTCCATCACCTTCCCAGGAATCAAGGTGAGGCTGACCAGCCTGTAGTTCCCTGAGTCCACCTTCTTGAGGATAGGAGTGACATTTGCTCTCCTCTAGTCTTCAGGCACTTCTCCCAAACACCATAATCAATCAAATATTACCTAGAGTGGCCTCAATGACATTTGCCAGCTCCCTCAGCACTTCTGGGCACATCCCATCCAGGACCATGAACTCATGTATGTTCAGTTTGCTTAGGTATTCCCTGACCTGATCCTGTTCCATCAAGGGTACACCTTCCTTGCTCCAGACTCCTCCCAGGGTCTCCAGGACTCAGGATTCCTGAAGGCCTGTGAAGACGGAGGCCCACATTTTCACTAGTCTTCCTTCTGTCACCTACGCACTTTGTCACCTACGTAAGAAGCCCTTCTTTTAGTCTTTGACACCCTGTGCCAGATTAAACTCCAGTTGGGCTTTGGGTTTCCTAACCTCATCCTTGCACACTTGGACAGTGCCTCTATATTCCTCCCAAATGCTGCCCTCAAACAGGTGAGACATGCATCAGCCATACTAGTTGAGAAGCTAACAGCCCCTACACTATGCCTTCCAGCCTACATCTGTGTGCATTGTTTATGTCAACACAGACAGTAAGTCTGAACTGACTTGACTAAGAACTGCACAAAGTGGAAGTTATTTTTCAGTCAAATGAACCCATACAGATGTTTGGGCTAGAGTCACTTGCAGGTGGAAGTCACGGAGACAGGAAGAATCGACAAGGAAAAGAGGAGAGAGAGGTGCCAAATATTTCAACCAACACTGCCACTGAAATGTTACTTGGCACATCCTGCACATACCAAATGGGAAACAGATTGTCTATGAGATGCAACTACTCAAACAAAGTACCTTAATATTACAAAGTATCTCAAAAAAAAAAAAAAAAAAAAAAGTGCCTTGCTGCATGAACACCATGCTGTGTATGGTTTAGGCTTTTTACATAGACTTAGACATATACTTTTACAGAAAGTATCTATCTATTCAGTTCTGTGGTCCAGAAAAGCACATGTATACAAGTTTCAGAAATTTTGTTGTGAGCACTAGGCTGGACATGTATCTATTTCTTAAATTGTAAGAACTGGCTTATGACAAGCCAAGAACTTAGAAAATAATCATCTCCAAAGACTGAAGATATTATACGTTATATTTTTTGTATAATACTTTAGTTCATGAACACATAAAAAAATGATTTTGTATCTTGAATTAAAATACTAACAAATTGCTTACTGTTGGAATTGCAGTTGTACAGCTAACTCTTCGAAGCCGCCTCTGCATTAGATCATGCTCCATACCATTGACTTCAGATTTCAGGCGTTCAAGCTCTTCTTTCTCAAGCTTCAGTTCCTTTGCCAGTCTCTCCATCCTTGCTCGTTGATGTAACAGCAAGGCTAATGTTTTATATGGAAGAAATAGTTACTAACACACAAAAACCTGCAAAACTGAATACTTAACTTATGCGTAAGATTCATGAGTGACCTTTCTGGAAAAAAAAGTGATCATAAACATGCAGCCAAATATCAGTGTGAAGATGCTTTCATGCCAAATGAACTACAATTTAGAACAAAGTTCTTCCAGAATAAAACCACATTTTAGACAGTAACTTGAAGGTGATATTACCATTTTGGTCAAAGCTTCTTTTTTTGCATTTGGTCTTTCTCGTCTCAAAAATACAAAGGCACCTGCATAAGGAGACAGCTTCTCAGGATGAAACAGCAAGCTAGTTATATTAATACTGCACTGACAAAAAAGCATAAATACCAGAGGTAAGATCAGAAGGTAACACGCACTTCATATGTGCTGCTCAAGAGCAGCTGACACACTAGCCTGGAGACAGTAGGCAAATGTCAGTCCTGAATTGGTTTTTTTCACTGCTATTATAGATTATGCCATAATAATTTTAAGTAGTCTTAGGTTTTCAGAGAGTACTGTAATTCTCAATACTGTAAGTTCCTAGTGCTCAAAGGCAAACCCTAGAATTTCAATAAGACAGACCAGAGAATCCAGAAAATAAAAAGTGGGGGCAGCTCAGGTGCTTCAGAGTCTTTAATTCTACAATACAGCTGATTCGCTGTCCTCTAACCTCTCTCGGGCGTTAATCATTCTCTCATATTTCTTGTCATGGTACTGAAATTTGTGACTCTCGGTCACAAGCTGATGTTTGGCTCCCAGAGCAGGCAAAGAAAGAATTTTTGACTAGCTAGAAAATAATATTCAGTTTCTGCAGGAAGAAAGTAGTTCATCATGATGCAAAACTGGTCAAGTTAATTAGTGTGACATTAGTTAGTGCACTTTCTGATCTGGCTGGTTTTACCTGATTAAAGTCTACCAGGACAGAGAAAAAGAAGAAAAATTTGCTGTGGGTATTCAGACAAGCACACTGGTCATACAACAATGTTCCAGCAAACTGTCCAAACATATGAAGATGCAGAATCTGCAAAATGCTACTTCATACAAAGCACCAGCCAGCACCTGCCCTTTTCTTCACCTCTATCCAACACAGGCAAAGAAAAACCACGTAATATCTCAAGCTAAAAAAAAAAAAAAAAAAAAAAAAAAAAAAGGTCAGAAAAATAAGCAACAGTATGACACAGCTTACTCGGGGAGGGAAAAAAACCCAGTCAGAAGAATAAAAATGACAGTGTTTTTTATCAAATGTCAGTATTCTGTGCAAAAATGTAGCACTATACTTTGGTTTTTGTATGGTTCCACCAATTCATGGCCAAAGAATAAACACTGAAAATCCTATCCAAGAATAACATCAGATGTTTTCATAATACAGGCACCAGTATTACTGAACGAAACTGTTCTTTACTTTTTGAAGTAGCATACATCATTCAAGTAGAGCTTAGAAGATCATAAAATTAAAAAAAAAAAAAAAAAAAAGTACAGCTACCAAGCTGTACTATTACTATCAAACCTTGTCTTTGTGTGACTCCTCCAACTTAACATCTGATATGACTGCATGACATAGCTTCACATTGTACTCTAGTACAACTCATCAAACGTGACTCACACTACAAAGAAACAGTAGAAGTACAGATACCAGAATGGATTTTCGGTAACACTTCTCACAATGGTTCATATTTTCATAAAAAAAAAATAAAAATAAACAAACTTGTTCCCTGTGAGCTGTTAAATATACTCTTCTTTAGGACTCTGTGGTAGTAACAAATACAACGTTTATTCTTCTACAATTTATTTCTATCAAGAGTTCAGAGTGCAGCAATACCAACTTTGGGCTATAATAAAGTCCCAGCTGTGCCAGGTATTGCCACAAAAGCAGATGCCCCAAAAAGGACATACTCACTAGTTTTACTTGGTTTGTTTTCCAAATACAAAAATCTAGTCAAAGATACAAAGTCAAAAACAGATTCTCTAAATAATATTTCTAGTTGGGTCTACCAGGTACAGAACAGCTCTTTGTTGATGAGTTAGAATAGTTTAAAAGACACAAAGAGAAATAAGAAATCGAGACATACAGGGCATTATAACCATTACTTCAGCTCTCTAAAGAGAAAGGAAGGCTAGAAGGAGCAGTGGAAGAATAGACTCTCTTTTCCAAACACAAATCCAGAAACAAAGCACATTCTTTAAACAATTGCTGCTGATTATCATTCTGTCATTACTCCAAATGATTGGTTTGAATGCTTGCAGACTGATTAATTTGCTCAGTCTTAATTGTTTCAAATCTATAAAGCAGATTACTCTGAAAAAAGCAGTTTTCAGCTAAAGGTTACATAGGTTACATCTCTTTTTTTTTTTTAACCAAATTACTTAATTCTTCATTTATATGTCACATTAAGACTAACTACGGTCTATCCCTATGCAGCAGAACACACACCCTAAAATTTATCTGCCAATCTCTTCCTCCTCTTTGAAAACTTTAAGTGGAGGAAGTGACTTCTGATTAAATTTTTCATAATAATTATTTTAATACCTTTCAAAACAAAAATGTGATTTGTATTGATACCCGAAGTAATTTTAGCTACAGTCCTACCTCTCTCTCCTCTTTCATTTAACAGTCTTCAATCTAAACCAAATAAACTGGATTCAAATTGCCTGCAGAAAAGTTAGTGCTTCAGGTTTTATAAAGCACCCGTGTATGGAACAAATACAAAAATTAATAAAATCCACATGTAAATTTATGACACAGTTCTTCAACGCAGAATTTACAAACCGGACGCACAGTATATGAACAAATCACTTATTCTGTTAGCTGCAGTGTTTTCCTTCAAGAAATTCCCCTAACATCAAAATCATAGCAGTTTTGAAGAACCTCCAGAATTCTTTATGTATTAGACTGAAATTTGGCAAAATTTAAAAACAAAACAAAACAAAACAAAACAAAAAACCAAACCGTCATTATATGATTTTTGGTGCAATTTCTGTTCTTCCCTGTACAGGTTCAAAAATTCTCACTTAGTAAACAGCGGAATCAATCTGAAAACGTATTTTATAATAATACAATTTGCAGGGTGAAACATTTACCTTGAGTGTAAGCATAGTCGTCTGATCCAGAACTAGAACTTCTCTGATACTTATGGCTTCCTTTTTCTCCTCCAGATCCTGGGATTACAGAAATAGGCTGAATAGGTTCTGGTGCTGCAGAACGCTCTTCTTGGTCCACTAAATTTAAAAGATTCTCAGTCGGTGCTCGACCTACTGTGATTTTAAAAATGGTTGGGTTTGGCTGAGATACCATTACCCGAGGAGACTGTGTTGGTGCACCTGTAGGTCCAGTTGGTTGAGTGTAGGTAATATATACCGGATTAACACTAAATGGAGGTTTGGGTTGACCCGACATACCTCTTGATGGAGAGCTTGAAGGAGGAGTAGTGGCTGTATACAGCGGGTGCTGGTTTCGTTGAGATGGTTGATTACTTATTGGTGAAGGACTTCTGTTCATTGCAGTCCCAGGTCTTTGCGGTGGCTCAACTGTAATTTCTATTTTATTCATGGAACCTTTGGATAAACTAGGTCCAGCAAAAGGAGGAAGATACGATACAGAGTGACCGCCTTGTTTTTGAAAAGTCTGGGATGCTTGCTGATATGGATGGGGTGGGACAGTTGAAGGACTAGGAGGCATGAAAACATGTGAACTCTGATGACTCAACTGAGGAGGTTGAACTTGGTGTTGAGGAGAGCCAAAGGGAGAGGGACACTGGGAAGTCGGTGGTGATCGAAAAGCTGATTGAGGGATCTGGGGTTGTTTAGGAGAATACTGAGAAGGTTGGTAGTTCTGTTGATGTGGATACACAGGTAGAGGACGGGGAGTATAATGTGGAACTGGGCCCTGTGGCGATGAATGCCACTGTGTATTCTGAGGAGTCTGTCGTCCTGAAGAACTTTGAGATGTTTGTCTTATATAAATAGAGCCAGGAGTCCCATAAAGATTGCTTGGAATCTGTGGAAGAATTTGTAGAGCTCTGGGTACGCTCTGTCCAGAGGGGAGGTTTTGTGATACTGTAACAGTAATGGGATTTGTACTGTACCGAGGTATGTGCATATACGTGGGAGGAGGGCCTTGCATAGCAGACGTGTTCATTCCTGGTTGTATGGAAGATGGCTGTGGAGGTGGCTGTGGAGGAGGAGTAGCTGCATTTCTATTCTGGTCATTCATGAAAAATGGATTGTAACTAGGAGAAGCTGCCACAACAGCGGGAGCAGAATGTGGTTCTTGAACTAAGCATATCAGCTGTTTACCTGCTGTGCGTTGCGGATCAATATGTCCATCGCTTGAACTGTGTACCAGTGTACGACCACCATTAAGTTGAGCTCCATCCCCCGCATGATAGCTGGTATGAGGATGAATACCCAGATTAATGTGCAAAAGGCTATTTCTATTCATTCTGGTGTCATCAGGGCTATGGTACTCCATATATAAGTATTTGTTGCTCTCCTGTGCGAGGGCTCGACAACAGGCATCTAGATTGTTGTTGTTCTAGGAGTAAGAATGAACACCTATTATCGTCAAATAGCAAAAGAAAAAGCCGCTGCTCAGCATTCAACTGAAGCTGCAATCAAGCCCAGCTGGAATACAACTAGGGAAAACATTTCACAGACAAATTTTGAAATAAAGGTAATACCTACTAAGTCATAGTATGAAAATAGTATATAGCTCACATTGCATTTAGCAAAACGCTACAGTAACACTAGCTACAGTATTACGTATTAAAAAATCTAGTCTGTTGCTGGGGAAAGCAATCATTAGAACTCTTGGCACCTTCTGCAAGGATAGGTATGTACAGTTAACGCCACAAATCAAACTAGATCAAAATGGCAAACTGAAAAGTCGAACCAAACATGAAGATGACATTTTAATGTTTACCTGAGTGTTTACTGTTTTCACCTTCACTTTACTGTTTACCTGAGTACTACTCTTCACCTGAAAGTTGAAAAAACCCAACATTTTAAACCAGCTTCTCTTCGTAGAACAGAATTTAGAGCCTTAAAAATGAAGTCAGAATGAGCATTGCTTGAAAGAGTCCTGGCAACTCCATAAAGCACTTCACAATTCTGACATAATTTCAACTGCCTTTAAGAATTTTGGGCTCAAGGCTAAAAAAAAAAAAAATAATTAAAAAAAAAATTTAAAAAAAAATTCATACATCAGCGAGGAAACCCCGTAACTCCTGTAAATGTTTGATTTGTTCTGTGGTGCCAACAGCTGAAACTATACAGATAATAAATTATGAATCAATTAAGAAGCATAATGGTGAATTCCCTTTCCCTCTTTCCCCTCTCCGCTTATTTTAGCTTAATCTAGTCCTGTTAAAAGAATGATACAAATGATAGCTTTTCCAAGAGTAAAATCACTAGAAAGCATTCCAGATTGTTGATTTATTTTTTTTTTTTCTCCCCAGTTTCTCGCACAACAGCCTGTATCAGCTGTAGTTCAGTTTTTAATTTAAACAGTAGTTAAAGAAAAAAAAAAAATCATTTTAAGTTAGGTACAACTACATCTGGCCCTCAGCACCCTAACTTTGCTACATGTGATCCACAACTGGTACCTTCTGCGACATACAGCACTTGCTTACCAGAACAAGGGTGTACATATTTACATACACACGCATACACCCCCGCCTTCCTTAGTGTGCGAAGGTTACCATTCTAAGGAATATACAATAATAACAGTTTCACTTCTATTTTAAACACTATCGCTATATAAAGTTTGTATAGTTAATACTCATGTGGCCTTGCAAAACAGCTTTCAACAGCCTATCCATTGGTTGAAAAGTTACAGTTGCACTTCATTTCTAAAGGACTGATACCTAGTCAGTCTTAATACTAAAGTGAAGATGACTTTCCCAAAATTTCATATGACTTCACTATCAGACAAACACACATGTTCAGCATCTTCTCAGATGAAGACTTATTATCGAACACGACAGAAGAGTCCAGCACTTAATTATGCATGGCTCTCACTCTATTGATACTTCTCCCTGACTACTTCCCCTTCAAACCAAGCTCCCCTTCTAGACCCCAGTGGTCAATTGGAATATCCAGACATATCACAAAAAAATTTAAAACCAGAACATGTGGGAACCAGACCTTGTGATAACCAGCAGCATCACTGTGCCAAGACAGCAGTCTCAAAAAAGTTAACCAATACCATCAGCCACTTGCCATCTAAATAGGACTTCATAAAGGCAGTCCTCAGTTTCCTCAAGTCACCTCATCAGGGTGGAGGTGGAGAGAACGTAGACAGGACAGGCTCTAATCTGATTTTCTCAGGGTATGGAATGTATTTGTCATTTCAAAGGACCCTCAATTTTTGATATGTCCAAATCACACTGGTTTAAATCTAGAGTGTGTATTGCAAGAGGTGAACGGAAACCAGCTCATGTATCTTAAAACAAATATGAAGTGGGTTTAGAAACAAATCCTACAGTTAAAAAAATGACAGATATTTGCAATGTAACGTTAACCAGCTATCCAGAACACCATATGCTTCTGCAGCATTAGAGGTTCTTTAATTTTATCAGTTTAAAGATGTCTATGACTTAAACATTGTTCACCAAAAGGACCACGTAGTTAACAGTACAGAAGAGATGACTGTCAGGATAATAAAGTTTTGCAGTGCAGGGTTTCCCCTGCTTTATATTTCTCTGAAAGCAATTAATTTGTATTCATATGGTTTAGAAGATACAAAATGCACAAATTACATCCACAGTTACTAAGTAAACCTACTATTCTGCCAGGGACAGGTAGGATGCAAATACAGCTTATTATCACTTCCAATTTGTGATTTTAGATGAAGGTGGAAGGAAGAAATGGAAAGGAAAATAAAATGAAAAAGGAAAAAAAAAAAAAAACCACAAAAAACTGTCGCCTGACTTGGGAACAGAGAAGTAAAAATAAACCTTTGCACAGCCATTGCAAAAAGATGTCATGAAGACAGAAAACCTTTAGATTTCTAGCTAAGATCAGCTCCTCATTCAGGAAGAATGAGTCATTGTTTGCTACAACCTCCTCCAGTATATGTATGTATTTACATAGCCATCATCAATAATCATCCCATTAGCCACTCTCCTTATTCCCTGTATACATACAGTCACAGGTCTCGGAGACAAAGAATAGTCAGCAGAAAAACCCCACAAACAAATGAAGAATGATAAAACCTCTGTACATAAAAGACACGACAAAAATGCAAGTAGTGGAGTCTTTCACCCTTTCAAAACGAAACCAGAAGAATGAAAATCTATGCTCCGTGTCTATTACTAAAAATAATTTTCATACTACAAAAATAAAATACACAGACTCTTAAAAACTCTTTACCATACCTGAAGCATGCACTGAGATACTACCCCTTCAGGTATCTCAGGGAAACGTTGTCGGAGATCATGGAGTACCTGCACGTCGAGTTGTTGACTGCCCTGCGCCATGCCAGATTGATGATGTTCCAGATTACCAAAAACTGGAAGTCAACAGGCCTTCCAATGATTATGGTCTTCTGAGGCTTCTGGCATCTTCTGTAAGGAAGAAAATACAATCAATTATCTTTTAGCCATCACAACAACTTTTCTTCCTTCCCCAGCTGCATGTGTAAAAGAATTACCTTATTGCATTTTCAGACCTAGATATCAAGAGAGACAATGGCTTAAACACAAGACTGGGAATCATCATGTCTCACATCCTAATATTAAAACACCTAACATATCACAGGTATGCCTATGTGACATTTCACTGGAACGTGCTAGTTCAGGTCTTTACACAGTCTCATTGTTGTACCATGTAGGCACAACTTAAAACTAATCTGACCTGCATAAAACGGAACTGTTACATATTCACTCTCAGTGAAATTCTGAAAGGTTTGTAGAGAAGTCAGAAGTTATCACAAAGCATGCATGTCTTCGTTGTTTACAACATGTTAGAAATAACAGGCTGGAAAACTAAGTAGCACAAGTACGAAAAATACCCCTCGAGTAATAGGGCTTAAACTCTTTCCTCTTTACATCACACTACAAATCCAAGAAGTTGGATGCAATTTTTTGAAACACACCAGAAGTTAAACAGAATTTAAAGAGTCCTTTTTAGGACTATGATAAGCATCTATTTAAGATTTTTGTAAAGCACCTATTATACTCATACTAACATGATTAGTGACAAAAAAAAAAAAAGTATCCGAACTTCAATACCCAAGGACTACTAGAAGGCATATACAGTCTGAGGCAACAAATGCTCTTCTCACTTGTGGATCATGTTCACAGCAGTAATCAAAAGGTAGCTGAAGTCTAGGTAAAGATTCACAAAGACTTTGTGTGAAGGTGGCTCATGACATAGCCCCTGTAACACATCTATTATTGCTAAGCTTCAAAAGCCTTTCCAACATTACTACTCCGTTGAAATGTAACTGCAGAGAATGTAATGCCGTGTTCAAAAACAGAAATGAAGGTCAGATACCAGCAGAGTTGGTGTTCAAGCAATGTATTAGCTACTCAAAGTCCCAGTTTAAACCATGCTCATCTCAACTTCAGTGCAATTGTGGGTGGCACACAGTACAGGTATTCCAGTCAGCTTTTCACTGGTTCGCTCAGCTTCTAATAGCAGTCTAGCACAGTGCAACAGATCAGCACACACACATACCTTTATGCACTAATAACCTCCAACAACTTCCTGTATCTTTCCTAAGAAAGTCTCTTACTTTTCATAGGCAAGAAAATAGAACATATATCTTCAAAGTAGTATAAAAGGCCAGGATTAGGGCAAAAAAGCTTTGGTGGGGTTTGGGGTTTTTTGGTATTATTTTGAATATTTAATAATCACAAGTTTCTTTTTTCACCTTTCTAAATAGTACTTCCTTTCTCTGAAAAGGGGCAAAACAACCAACATCACACTACAACAAAATTAGAACTCCACTGTCTGGCTACTTTGTATGTGGACAGCTCTTAACTGACATCAGCATTCATTAAATAACACATATGCTTACAGGAGGGGTTGCTCTCTGTCACATCTGGTATTTTCTACTATCCACTATTACCTCTGTCACATCACACTCCTCAAGATAAATGAGACAAGTTTAAAGACAGTGAGATATATGAATTATCCTGCTGTGATTTAAGAAATACTACAATAAACTCGCATTGTACAATCACAATACAGCTCCGTCCACTGCAGTAATGCTGCAGACCCCTTTATTTTAAAAGGAAACAAGTTTTTCCACTGACTACAAGCACCAGCTAAAACTTTCTATCTATGCGCACAGTAGGGGATCTTTTATAAGACTTATTTTTTGTAAATGACAAACATATATCGTACTCTGAAAGGCAGACCACAACAAGGATTCTCAAAGAAAACCTGCCAGCAATCAAGCTCTATGTGTTTCTAGACAGCCCTCCTTTTCCCAGGAGGCAGGGGATGATGCACAGTAACGGAGGAGCATCCTACCAGAATAAACTGTAGTTAACCCCTCCCTGTGGAATAACAATGACAGCATCTGCACATCTGAAATAGAAGATAATAACATTAAAAATTTCATTTGCATGCGCAAAAGCTTTTGCATCACTTCTCTCTTCAACTGCAAAATCAAGCGTAACATGGGTGAACAGACTTGAGATCCATCATCAATACATACAATGTTTTTCTACAATGCTTTTACAATAATCTAAATTAATTTCTTTGATGTTTTTCTAACACTTCCTGAATATGTGTGGTGAGTAGAGATGTGACACTCGAAGGAATTGGTAAGTATTGGTCAACTACGAATTTTATCACAGCCTTCTCTTCTAAACACAAATAATAGATAACAGAAATTTCCTTTCTCATTCTGAAGAGCTGAAGCTTCTAGGCTTTACAGTTACGCAGATAGTTTGGAAAAGTCTAAAAGAAACCCAAAATAATTGTCTTGAGAAGCATTAATGCACAATCATTCAGAACTCCTTGGATTCCATGGCTATGCTACTGTGGAAACATGATGTTTTTCAGCTGACACCACAAAATTCACTATTAATTTGTATTCACTAATTCATACCGAGGAGTCCAGCATTTTGTCCTGCCTATTCTGCTTCATCTGTCTAGAACCAGCTGCACTTTTTCCACCCTATGGGGGCACAAACTGGCTGGATTACAATACTTGCTTCCCTTGTTGCTCCACAGCACCAGGCAGGTGGAGAAGCAAGTTGTTCAGGGAGCCAAGAGCTTACAGCACAGACTACAGAGCTAAGATGCTTAGACAACAAGAACTCCTGCTGAGCCACAAAGAAACTAGGAAAGCAATCCTTCACAGCTTTTTTCCTTCCCAGCATGCACAGGCTAAGGGACACGCTGAGGCGCACTACACTACCAGCCTTATTATTACTGAATGTTCACAGGGCAGAACACATCAAAAACCAACCCAAAGTCACAATGAAAGCAAGCCACTCCATCTGTAACTTTCAAAAATGAGTTGAGGACACCCAAAATCTACTTGAAAAGTATTTCCCAAGGATGGAATAAATGAACATTCCTACATACACAGCAGTTCTAATGGCAAAACCAAAGAATATTGTTGCAGAATTAGTCCTGCTGTGTTAACACACAGAGGTGACCTTGGAAGCCACTAGTGAATCTTGGGGATTATGCAAAGCATGACTCAAGTCCTGAACAAGTACACTAATCAGTTTTTCACACCTTTCACATGCCTAAATTATATGTACAGGAAAACAGTATCTTAAATTTAATCTACTTTCCTTAAGCCATTTGTGTATCTTGCAAGTTAAGAAAACAGTCAACAGTTCTGTCAGTCAACTGATGTCTCTTTTCTGAAAGAATGAATAAACAAGCAGAGTTACTATAGTCTCGAGAGTCCCCACAGCTGTGCTCAAACATACATTTGAAATCCATTTCACTACTGTTATTTTCGAAGCACCGAATCACCTAAAATGAAGATACAAGAATCATCAGTAATGAGATCCAATTGAAAAATAAATTAGTCAATACATACTATCTGGAAGTTTATAAATTATGTACCAGTGCGCACTTATGCAATTACAATGTATGCAGCAGCAACTAAAATAATTCCTGAGTAAATTTCCAGAAAACAAGTTACCTGGAAGACAGTTTCTCAGGTCTCATCAATTTAAAGGTAACTGTTAAGAGTTTTATACTAAGTGTTGGGCCTTGAAGGATAAGAGGAAAAAAAACAACAAGAGAAAACACAATAATAAAAAAATCCATTTATAAAAGCAAAACCTGAATGGCATCCTGCTTCTAACGTTTTACATAAATTCTTTCATCTTAAAAGATTATTTAAATCTTTGGATCACAAGGATAAGAAAATACAGATGTATTTAAGTACAAGTAGGCAAAGAACCTCAATTTTTCCTCTGAATACTACATGAATGTAATTTTAAATTTCCTTGTCCTGACTTCAAATCAAATGCACGCTGAGGCCTACAGATAAAAAGTGGATTTATTGAATGGCCTTCATATGAATTCAACCCAATATTTGTAAATTAATCTGTTTGTTCCTCCTCGTTCATCTCTGTCTGACCAAAGTGTTGAAGATAAATTTTGGCCTTCAGATTCATAAATGCAGTAAATTTTTTTTTATTTAAGCACTCATAGGGCAATTCCTTCAAACACGTGCACTGGACTGACAGGCTTTTAGCCAAGAGGTAGAAACGGATTCAGGTAAAGCTAGCAAAGCTGGATGCTCTATTCTGTCTAAACATTACGGGAACTGGAGTATGAAGATACCATGAAATGTAGGTGGGCAAAACCGTAAAACAGTATCAACTTCTTCCTTACAGAATCTTCAGAACAGAAAGAACAACATAATATTAACACAAATCAGTACGCTGAAAGAAAAATGAACATACATAACACCTCCACCATGCAAATGCAACTTTGACTTGAGACTTTTAAACTCATTTGCAGTAAATATGAAGTAGCAAATCCAATAAACAGTTATACAATCCAAACTCACGATGGTAATTCCTAATTGTTATCTGTTTAAATATAATTTGCCAAAACCAACAACTTGTCCTGTTTGTATTTGCTACTGGCATTTAGGCATGAAACTTCTGAGTAAAACTGATACCAGTGCTACTCAGAACTTTATTCCTGTTGTGAGACAAACAGAAGAGCACTAACAGTCTGAATGCCCTCCTGAACAGGAACTTTCCTTATTTCTCTGGTAGTGAATAGAGGGAGAAGTGTGAAGAGTGAGGACAAGGAACTGAGGAAGCAGAAAAAGATACAAAATTCTAAAATTCCATTAATATAGATCAGCACAGAATTTTACTTTCACCAAAAATAGCAAGGTATAAGTGAGATCATGTCCAAAAGAAAAATACGATGCTTTAAATGGACAAACAATAATAGAAGCTTAACACTCATTTGTAATAGCTTTACTAAAACATACCATTCTGTTTTCAAAGCCATGCTAGACTAACTGGCTGCACAG